AACCAAACCATTTCTGTGAATATATATGGAAAGAGAATATTCTTTTTCGATCTCAACTTGTGTTGTTTTGTTTAACAACACAAAATACTTTAGAACTTTTGGGAGAATTAATACTGGTAAAGGCGCGCTCCTTAAGGTAGGCAATATATTTTTTACTTTGTTGTTTTTGAATATGTTTAAAATTTGAAGTGATTTATTAATGTATGTGCCTTTTAAGAGCATAGAGAAGGATTGTCTTATATGTTAGGATGGCAAGAAATAGTTTTCGGTAACGGTATGTTAATGAAGTGCGACTGAGATAAAGATGCGATAAATTTCTTGAAAGTTTTTTTCTCTTTTTAGTCTATTATATTTCAAGAGTCGGTTTTATATTAGGATGGCACGAAATAGTTTTCGGCGACTGTATATCAATGAAGAGCGATTGACGTGGATAAGCAATAAATCGCCTAAAAAATGTTTCTGCTTTCAATCTACGCGAACAACTATAAATATTTTTAGGTACAGAGCCAATGTAATGATAATGAAATCCGTTTTGTCGTCTTTTACTGTCCTTAAGAATTTATATTGGTAACTTGCTCAGTATTCTGGATCCTCTTATTGTGGCATCTTAATTATATCATTTATCAAAATATTTTTCAAGTTAAGAGATACATGTATGCTTATGCTTTCTTGCCGGTAAAATCATGAGTCCATCGCACATTTGCATATAAATTGCTTGCTAATATGCAAGTTTTTGCAACTGTCTGGAATTGAAAACATATTTACACGTAACGCAGCTAAGGAAAAAAAAAAGAAAAAAACAACATGTTGGACGTTGCTCATGTGTTCAAAAGAATTGCTCAGATGTGTGTGCGATGAGGATTTATAATTTTGCAAGAATAAGTGCATATATATGTATATGCAATGTGCACATATGTGCGTTTATTTATATACATACTTTGGCCTCGGTTTAATGTTTGTTGGCTCAGCCCAGTCACATGGTTAATGAGGTTATGAAAGTAAACAATGTGATAACAAGTAAATAGGCAGCAATAGCAATATATATATATATATATATATATATATATATATATATAATCGCTACAGTGCAGAGTCAATCTCTGCTTACGTGTGTATATTCTTGTTTGTTGGCGTAGAGGAAGACTTTCATGCGAAGATGATGAGTTAATTTAGGTGTTTATTAAGGCAGCATGTTCGCCTCAACATAATTATATAATTGTCGAGTATGTTATAAGCGTTAGTTGAACACTTGTTTGTAACAGGTAAACAGGTAACAAAGAAATAACATGGCTAGTAAAGATATTTTACGACATTACATTTCGTAGGGTAGTTTTTTAATGAAAAAAAATTTACTTACAAAGTTGAAAATATTTCGCATACGAATCAAATGCTGCGAGTACTTGTACTTTTATAACGCAGAAGTTTGTTGCAATGCAATTGATTTTTCGGGAACTTCTTCCCGATGATACTTATCAGCGCTTATATGTGGAATATGTTCATTTCATGGCAAGGTTTGCAACTTCCGAGACCCCATGATATACATGATGAGTATTAAATTTTGAGTCGACTTAAGGCACATCCGTCCATTCGTCTTTGTAATGTCTGTGGTAAAGAATTTTCTGGCCAACAAAATGAAGTAACTTTAACAGAATTACTAGTTATCGTTTATGTCTACAATAGCAATGCAAATTTTTATAAACTATTTTAACATAAAGTTCTTGGGTATAGAAGATCCGGCCACAGCCGAATATAATTTTCGTACCTAATCTTTTGATATGATATGAAATACAAAAGAACGAAGGAGAATTTGTTTTTAAAAATCCCAAAACGTAAATCATTGAAGTGCACCTGACCCTCGTCAGTTATGCGTAAGGATATTGTGAAATTTTATTTCTTCAACTCTAATACTTTCACTATGTCCTAGTATGGGTACATAACATAAGTTATATGTATTTCTAAAGAGTCGAGGCTTCGGAAAGTGTTTGATGTAGTTCAAGCAACATGTTCATTCCGAAAAGTTTTCAAGACTCATCCTAACGCTCATTTAATAGACCAATGACAAATTCATTATTAAAATTATCCGCTCCCATGGCTTCATTTGATTACAAAAATGTCTGTTGTGGTAAATTGGCCTCAACTTGCGAGAAGATCGCCCGAAAACCTAACCACAATTTCTAATACAATAACTTTACGGCAAAATCTCATCTTTTTGCGCCAAAGCGCCAAAAATCTATTCAACGTGGTGTCTTCGTCCACTAAAACCTTTGACATTGCACTTAAACTTGGAGCTGTGGGCTAAGTTCAATTTCACTTGTATAAGGCGCATTTTCCACGAAAGGCCTTTTCGTGGAAACTAGTAAACTCTGGCGCATTTTTTTTGTGCCGTAGGTGTTATTAGAAAAAAAATTACTTGTAACTTATGTATATTGTAACGTCAGCAAAAAAAGCAAAACACTCTCTTGGCGAGATAAGCAATGTACAATAAAGTATTTATTTTCCGATTTAGAAGTCAAGTGTATTCATTTGAGGAGTGTACAAAATAGTTTTAGACATTCGGTCTTGTTTGCCTTGTTTTATGCTTAATTAAGCATAAAACCTAAAAAAAATTAACAAAATAATATGTAATCAATTGTAACTGTATGTGGGCATGGTCGATCTTTTCCATTTTTGCACGAAAAGAATAGAGTGCTTTGCAAAGTGGGAGGTGGAAATTATCAGCCTTCCCTAACTTTTATAATATCTAAGTAACCAGAAAGAACCCACAATTTTTGTTAAGAAAAGCAGAGCCGTATTCTGTTTACACCACATACACCAAGGAGACGGACAGACATGGCTTAATCAATTCAGAATTTCACGCTGATCTTTGTAGGATCTCAGAAACTTCCTTGCAAGTGTTACATACGTTATGAGAAAAACAAAATGAGTGGTGGGTATAAAAATTGAAACAGTTAGGCTGTCTTCAGCTATGCTGATAACGAAGTCAAAGGGTTCAATGTTTTTTTTTTTAATAACTTTTATAGTCAAATGTTCGCGTTTCTCGATTATGGGATTCCTGAGACATCATGTGATATAATTATGAAAGTATGCAGCAATCTTCATGGGGAGAGAGAGAGAGAGATAGAGAGAGAGAGAGAAAGAAAGAAAGAGGAACAGTGAAACTCTGAGGAGAACTGTAGCGTCAAGTTGTCAATGTTATTTCTATTCGAAATCGCTAATGTTGAAAGGAATATTGGACTGTTTAGCTGATCTCACACCATTCTGATGAACCACATCGGAGGATCTTAAAATCTTTTCTATCCGCATTACATGTTCCATCATTTCGAAAAATTTTGATACTAAATCTAAAGGATAAGGAAATTCTGCATAAGGATTTGCCTTCATTTCATGTTTAGTGCGTACTAGAGATTCTTCCTTAACGGAGTATAAGGACTTTCAGGTCATGCTAATCGAAAGCGTAAGCACACTGTTATTAAGAATGTCTGATAACTTTACCAAACTTTAATAACCACGAGTACGATCACGTAAGGAGCAGAAAATGTTATACTGTTTTTTGTGACCACTTAATGTATGCTTAAGATCAGCATCACATAAAGCCAAAGTAAATTTTCTTTTGATTCCTTCAGTTTTTATTTAAAAAGTCATTAAAGTTACATCCAACAGTGACTTACTGAAGGTGGCAAGGTTTAGTTGTCTAGAAACTAGGACGACCAGCCTCAAAACTTGCGGATTGTCTTCATTAATTAAAATAAATATATTTTTGGTTATCGTAGGGAACTTGTAGCGAAACAAACTTATGTTGCCTGCCTGTGTAAGCACAATTTCGATAGATAAGGTATCTACACTCAATAAGATTGTTAAGCAAATCAACATAAAATTTGTCGTTTTCTGTTGAAAACGGAATAATTTTCTAGTTTTTTTTTTTTTTTTAATTACAAAGTTAATATCCTGTCTATTGAAAGTGGAAGTAGAATGAAAGCAAACAGCGATTTTTACTGCTTTACCTGTTGATCGTATCATGACGACGCGAACAAAGTTCACAAAAATATAAATTACAAATTTTCTGGGTTTTACCAGAAACAGAAAGGGAAAAGGTTTGTCATCCTGTAAGGAAAGTTTTCGTGAAGAGTGAAAATCGAAAACAGGCTACGAATGGAATCATGCGGGCATTTGCAGAAATATGTGTTATTCGTTACCTGTAAGCAGGAAGGAGTTTTAAGATATAAACAGAGTATTTAGCGGATACTCGACAGTTCAATTATAATCATTCAAAGGCTGAGTTTGCTGTGCACGTACGTTTAGTGAAATAATAAGTTTTCTCGTTGTCGTAAATAAATTGGTTTAACTTTGCACAAAAGGAAGAAATGACTCCTGCACCAATACAAATGACATCAAAATACTTGGAGCTCACTCAAGAGAAACGCCAGCAAATAAGAAGTAAAGTCTTTGATTTAAACGATCATAGCGCATCTAATGCTGACATATATGATGCGAAAGGAGACGCTAGTGTTAACTATAAGCAGAGGAGCAACAGTAGTCACCAATCGAACGACGATATAACCGATCGCAGTATGAAAGAGTCGTATACCTCATCTATATTGCTGCCTGAACTCGATTTGTCAAATTTAGGAAGCGGGAAATCACTTCAGTCCCTTTGTTCTTTTACAACAACATCACACGAAAAAGTTGACAAAATAAGCAACGAAGAAGAACGAGAAGGTAATAGAAAACCGAAGCAACCGAAATGGAATGCAAAAGGTTTGCAAAGACGTGGATTTTCCATATTCAAAGCAGTTTATGAATTTCATAAAGAGCAACAACATCAGTTAGAGCAGAAGCATGTGTTGAAAGAAAGCTCCTTCACGGCAGTTGGCGGAGAAAAGATAAGTAATACAATTGCTGAGCAAAGTAACGCAAAAGGGAGATTAAATCGACAGATGGAAGACAAAAAAATGGCGAGAGTGAAGCCAGGTTTAGTATCGGATAGGGCAGCACTGTTTGAAGCTCAATATAAAGAAGAAACTGCTCAGTGTCCTCAAAGGGATCAAATCGAAGTGTCGGTGAAGGAACGCATGAGATTATTTGAAAGGAATAGAACTAAATCTTTGGCACAGCGGGCGCGCCTCGGCGGGGCTTCGACTCAATTTTCTCAAAGTAAAAAAAAAACACAAATTAAAGATGTGTGCGCGACTGTCAAGCTTCCTACAGTCAAAGCCAATGTTGATAAGAAGGTACGAGCGAAAGTGGTTGCTTTGCTGCTGGCTTCAAATGAAAATAAAACTGAAGGTGATCTACGTAAGCGAAGGGAAGAAGATTTGCAAGTACTAGCCAAGGCGTTTAATAAGAAAAATCAGTATTACGGTATTCTGCCGGCAGCTCTTCAACAGCCAGAGAAGGGCGTAAATTTAGGACAAGAGCCCGAGTCTAATTCTTCCGCTATTCCTTTACCAACGCCACAAACTTTGGACTTTTATGCGAAACAAGAACCTTTAAATGATCCCAACGATAATGAAGCTAAACGAACTCCCATATCCGACCATAAACTTGCATACAGTGATTCATCGGAATTTGACTCCAATAAATCGTTTTCGCATAGTGAAAATAGTTATCGCACACACACCACTGTCTCCTCCCTGAATACAACAAATGATTTGAAAGAAACGACAGAACCTTTAAGTTCAAGCGAAAAGCAAAGAAATAGATTGCAGCAAAAAGGACTCGAGTGGGGAGAAGGCGAAACTGAGAGCAATATCGGGGAAACCAAAACCTGCGAACATCACTTTAGTGCGATGAAAGTTATCCTTAATGACAATGAGATGCTAAACGTGCAACGTATCAATGGGAAGTCAATGACAGCGCAAAAAGCTACAATGAAAGAAATGTGCTTTGGCGACACCAATCTTTATCCTCAAAATTCTCGTAGTCTGGATAGTTCTTTAAACGCCTTTGAAGGGTGCATAGATTGTAACAGGAATTTACACAAATCTTTCGATTATCAAGCGGATGGCACTGATGATTGCTCTGAAGACGAAGATCGTCAACAAGAGGGAAACAATATGCGTTTATCGAGGGACCTTGGCCTTGGTACAACAACTATTCCCAGCTCTTCTTCCCGCAGCCCTTACGCGCAATCCGCCGAAATGGAGTTGAATGTACACAAAGACAACAGTAATTTGACTATGCTTTCACAAGCAGGAAACGCTCGTCCTGAAGATAAACGTGCACCTTCTACATGGATACATGAAACATGCTGCGAACACAAGCAGGACGTCTTGCAATTCGATAACGGTAATGACAATAGCGATGTTGATTTAATGCAAATGAATGAAGAAGAGAACGATAGTATTGCGATTCCGCAGAAAATCAAAAAATTGTTAGACGAAGTTTTCAAACAAAAACGTATTACAGCTCAGGCTAGCCGAGCTTTGAAGTTATGTTCTGCTACTACTATCCTTTCCGGTGGTGCGGAAACCGCGGAAAAGAAACGCCATTTATTGGCGGCGATCAATCGCCGCCAAGCGTGTTTAAATGAAGTGCAAAGCTTGCGTGTGGGAAAAAGGATGCATTCTTTGGGTGTGGCACGCGAAAGGGGACGTATTACCGTTAAAGAGATTACGTTGCCGTTGCGACAATGCTATACACGACAATTGGCCTTAGAAACTACACCTGGTCATTACTTGGTCTGCTTACTTAAATGCAATGAATATGTGTTGGCCACCAAAGCGAGACCGACTTTACCGGGTTTATTGGCGGTGAAATTTCCCGAAATTTTACGCCTTAACGGCGTGAACACAGACTTCAAAGTTACCATAGAAATTTACGGTATGTCGGCTGTGCCTCATCAGGTTGAATATCGTTTAAATTCGAATAAGATGCCTAAGAAAAAGAAGAAGAATAGAAACGATAGTTGTATAACAATTTCACCGGTTCAAAGTTCGTCAGAATGTCCGACAAATTTGGTGCAGTACGGGTTTGCCGCATTTACCCTAAGGGAAGTGCAGAAGACTAATTGGACTTTTGTGCAGGTTGCGGACGCTTGCCCTCTAGAAGGTCTTGTGCATATGAAAGTTAATTGCGAGATGTATGTATCGGTGGAACATAACGGTTTTCTTACCATTTGTAAGAATGTTTCCGGTTTAGGTGCTTGGCATCGATATTACTGCCATTTAAGCGGTACTATCTTCAACTACTGGGAATATCCTGATAATAATACAGAAAAGGAGCCTATTGGTTCCATAGATTTGTATAGTGCCGTCACACAAAAAGTGACGATAGCACCGCCTGATGTTTGTTCACGTCCTAATACCATTATGCTGGAATGTCACCGCTCTATTCGAGAAATGGACCAAGCATCTTCGAGGACCGCAGCCGATGAGCATAAAACGACAGTTCGGCATCTATTGTCGACTGATACTGACGAGGAATGCCTTGCTTGGTGCGCCTATTTTAATAAAGCTTTGGCTGTATTGCGTGCATGGGGATTACCACAGTAATAGTGCAAAGCAATTTGATTTTTTATAAAAAGATGATTTCTTTATTAATAACACTCTTCGCGTAATGTAAATAAAAGTATTATTGGCATCAATTTGTATTTTTCTCTTTTTAATTTTTTTTTTTTCTAAATATTTTTTTGTACGCATAAAATAAGAAGAAGAGCATCATTTAACAAGAAAATTCAGCTGAGATTTTTTCTGTTTCGGTTTGGAAGAACCACTCATTGTATATTTTCAAAAATTAAGAACGATCTTGCTTTACTTATAATATCCTACCTAATGTTTAAAATTGTGTAGTATTAAAAGCTTCTAAATAAAAATGAAAATGATTAAAGAAAATCACATTTGATTCTTGTGCACTCTACTCTTTGCCACTATTGGTCTCGGTAGCTTACCGGATTATGTCTGTTCGTCTGAGATGACATAAATAATAATAAAAATTCACGGATTTATAAAGGGTTCAATTGAAATTCCCGTATAACATTATTGATAATCGATAATCGATTAACGTAAAGAAAGTATGTTCAGCTCGTAGTCCTACTGTTAATATCATAAACTTGACTGCAGTACACGCTTCTTCCTTCTCTCCGTCGAAGGACAATCAACATGAGCTTGGCAATTTGGAATTCAAGCGATTGATCTCAACGAAAATTGAGCACTTCTAAGAAGAGGACACTTCCTCATGACAGACATCGGGGTGGCCAGAATCCGAAACTTGCAAATTACAAGTGAAACGACGAAGGCTGGAAATGAGAGGATTTGTGAGTGTGTGGACCAATGCTGTTGTGTTGAATAATCCACAAGTGTAAAAGGGAATAGAAGGATAGTTTAAAAGTATTCCAGACCCTGAGAAATGCTTAAGATAGTACATCCAAGCAAACTGGCAGTTTATCAAAATGACTTTGTTTAGAACGAAGAGCGTTAAGTGGTAGGTAGTGCTGTGAAAATGGCATCCAGAAGTAAAAGCTATCGGAATTTGTAGAAAACTGAACTTCATGGTGTTTACATAAGATTATGGCCCTAAAATTAAAAAATAAGAGCGAGATTTCCGAAAATTTTGTGTGTGAACAAAGAAAAATACAAACCGTTTGTTTTGGAAAATTTCCAAGAAACGAATGATTATAAAAAGAAAAAAAAATCGAAGAAGCTTTCGAACCTGACCATCACAAAATAAGCAACAAATGAAGTATTATTCTCGGACAGCAATATAATTCATCCCACTCCTTCAAACCCCGGAATAAGTATAGTACGAAAAGTATTCCAAATATAAATTACTTTTATACTCTCACGTGGCAATCGGTCACTAGTCATAAAGGAATGCAATGCGCAGCCTTCCGATAGCTACTTTGAATGCATATCGTCTTTAGTACGCCGAAGAAATAGTCATGCGTTCCGATATCAGTCTTATTATAAAACCAAGTTACTAAGCTCCGCAAACCGCACAGAAAATAATACCTTTGTGGCCCCTGCTCAGAATACGGGGTCTGTGAGTGCAAGCTGCCGATGTGCTTTGACTTTCCCGCGATAACGACGTATCTCTTAATGCGTGAAATTAATAGTCTATTCTGATTGGACTTCTTCATGATGCGCGATTCCCTTACTATCCAATTAAATGCAGATTATTATCTTATATCACGTCAACGCGTACTTTACCACTCTCTCTCTTTTGGACTATGATATTTTTTTCACATTATTCTCGCAATTATTATAAGCGACTTTTCATGGCCTCTTAGCAATCTTTTGAAAAGCGCTACAATTTAGTTTCGCTGCAATAGCAGATGGAGACCCATGTGTAATCCAAATACCGACCGTGGTTTTTGTATCCGGCCTTCCAGTGATGATCCAATATTTCTTTCTTTTATCAATGGTTACCTTGGCAGCTGGTCAAAGGAGATGCTCCGATCTTCCTAAGTTTCTTGACTAATTTCGTAGGCATTCTCATGAATTGGTCGACCAGAGCGCAACAAAAATTGTTTCACAAGCCTGCGAAGTATTTGCCCTTTTTGGGAAAATGTCTTCAGAATTTTTTCAGAATTTCGGCTCATTTTCAAAACGCATTTACTTTATATATTCATTAAAACGCAAAAATCACCATAGAAATCATTGAGGGATAATTAACAAAATGTAACTCAGTCAGTTGGTGGGGGAGGAGAGCAAAAGCTCGGATATAAAGCAATGCTATTTAGGTTTCAATGAAATAAATTTTAATTGAATTGAATTCATATAAATTCAAGCGCAAATGTATTCTCTCTACGTTCTACGTAACGCTATATGGTAAAGGCGTGAGAGAGCGAGAGGGGAAGACTAATAATATCGGTAGATAACGCAACACCAACAAAAGCATCTTTCTCATCTGCTTAGGTGATTAATGACCAAATATTTTTTAATATATTAAACACAATTTTGTAATATTGCCTCGGGATACATTTCACTTTACTGTTTAGTTAGTCACTGATCTGTCTGATGGTGCAAGTGGTGGTGCTGATGACGATGGCGATGATGATGATGATGATCATGATGATAATAATAATGATGGTAGTGTGGTGTGGCGTAGTGTGCTGCTTCAGTTAATAGGAATGAATGACTGTGATGACTGACAACTCTTTTAAGTTTTAACAGCAGATAGCAATTTATTGCTGTTGATGAAAAGTAGTAAACTCGGTTTTCGAACGAAGAGCATTTTAACCATTTTTCGGTTTTTCATATTATTGGCGCCAGTACACGATCAACGATGCAACGATTTCGTTCCTATTGTGTTATGGAAACGAATGCGTTGGTAAAATGAAATTAAATTTCATTTGTTCAACGTTAATTATGATAAATGGAAAAATTAACATAACGATAATCAAGTTGTTGGTTTTGAGCCTTAACGAGTTAAGTAACACATCTAACTTATCAAATATGTTCTTGTCATGAAGAGAACTTTACATGAATTCTTGAAAGCCTGAGCATCCTTGAGAGTTAATCAAAGTCTTTTTTTTATGCCCTACAAAATTGATGGTAAATTAGGTATATGCGGAAATAGGCACCACCTAGAAAAACTTGAAATAGATCCACCTTTCATTCAAAAGATGATTTTTTCTTCTTTTCTTCTTTTCTTCTTCAGAAATTGAGCTTGTTTGTCCGCTTGTCCATCTGGCTTGCTTTTGTTCAACCTCTAGGTCGCAATTATTGGTATATTTTGATGAAATTTGCTAGATTGAAATATTTCGGACCAACGATCAATGCCATTGAACATGTTTCGGATCGGTCTACTTTTTCGACCATCGCCTATAGAAGATCTTAATGGTGTGCCTTCTGTAGTGTTTTGCTTGCTTAACTTGCGTTGCATTTAAATAAGTGCAGTACAACAGAAGCACTGCGTTTTAATATTGCTTTCAATGAAAGCAAATTTTAAGAAATTTAAAAAAAACTGTAAAGATCAACCAGCAATGAAAGTTAAAACACTATTCCTTCCATTCAGACCCTCTTTGCTTCGAGGCTCACTAATTATATTTCCATCTTTGTTACAAGGCTCAATGGTTTTTCACTTGCCTCACATACACACACATATATACGCTTTTTTCACTCTATACTTGTGCTCTATTATGAATGCTTTTTATACTTCTTTTTGTATTGCGAACTTTTATGCTTGTATATGTGTCACATTTTTTTATATTCCTTCTGGACATTTATTCATTTGCATGTTCCATGAGTCGCGCGTATGCTTGCGTTTCGCCTTCTTGGTCGGTTTCATGTATCCGAGCATTTTAATCCGTTTAAATTAATATGAACACATTAAGGTGTAGTTATCAGTTTAGCGAATGGCCGGCTCTCAATAACCGCTGATCACAAGCTAATGCTTTATGATGTGATAAAATATATATGAATATTTAATACCTGAAGAATAAAAAGATTATTATTTGAGGTTTTGCAATTAAGTCGTGGATTGATAAGAAATGACATTTCGAGTGATAAAACCTAAATGCATGCTGGTGGTCACTATTATTTTTACTGTGCATAGTCTCTTCTGAGTTTTACTGCCGATAGGAAGAAGAATAAAACGCAAAGAAAATAATCGCAGCTTCCTCCACATGTCACGAGACAAGGGTGAGATAAAGTGCTCTCACGTGAAAGAGAATAAAAGAAGCTGCTCGCACTTTCTGGCCGGCCGAATTTTCGAATTGGTGGCAAGGAAGCTAACGCAACAGAGAAAAAACCAAGTTAACCGTATTTGTTGAGCACATTTTTGCACGGTCTGTAATTGCTTGCATCAAGAACAGATAGGAACATGGTAGCGGATATTAATGCTTGCGGTTAGCACTCTTTATCCGACCTGTAACTTCCTAAATCAGAGAGCGATAGCAGGTAACTAGGAAAACAAAATGCAAAAGATTATCGTCGTAACTAATTCCAGACTGGTAACCGCATCCGACAAGATCCATAACGGATGGACAGATAGCGAATGGAAAAGCAAGTGTAAAAGAGTCCTAAGGCAGATATTCGTAATGAAAAGCATTTCTTGCTATGCAGAGAATACTTATTATACCCACCGCTGTAAGATAGGGGTGCATGTAACACCTGGAAGGAAGCTTCAGAGACCCTATCTATTCTTGATCAGCGTGACATTCTGATTTGTTTTAGCCACGTCTGTCCGTCCGTGTGTGTATGTTGTTGGCACTCTCCTCGTCCCAAAAATGAATATATCGACTTCAAATTTGGCAGAAACATTGGAAGTTTCTGTACGCAGGATGGTATTGAAAATGGGTTAAATTGGTCAATTGGAAAAAGCGGGCAATGGAGCATAAACTAAATGCAAATCAGTTTTTTTTAACAAAAATTTTTGGATTTCGGCTCATTGCTTGGAAATTGTTAAAGTTAGAACGTTGAAATTTTCCACATCTACTTTACGAGACAGTCGACTCTTTAGATCGGAAAGTGGAACCAATCGGCCATGCCCACACAAAGTTACAAGTAAATAAATTTTATTTTTTTCAATTTTTTTATTTATCCCAAGGCAA